TCGCTAAACACTCGCAAACAATGAGTGATTGAAGCATTTTGATCTATATCCACGGACAAATCAAGAAAGTCCTCATCTTTGCTAGACACCTAAGAACATTCTACTTCATGTTGACTTTGAAAGTCGAGCAATCATCGTAGGCAATGAAAGTCAAATTAATGGCAATATCAAAAGACTCACAGTCTCACAACACAAGCAACGGGTTTCATTAGTCAAAGTTCCTTGAAAAATTTCGTGAATCCAGGTTGTATCAGTCTTCGATGAGGACCTGAGTCGAAAGAGGTCATATTCATTGAGATTATAGATATAAAGAACCGCTTTCTACATGAATTTTCCGACGAGCAGATTAGATGGGCAAAATGCAAGCTTCTAAATTTTGTCCGTTTCTCTATTTTTCTCAGTATTAAAATCACGTCCCCAATAGTGTTTGAGAAAAGAAACAAAGAATGGAAAGACTGATAGAATATGCAAAAATACTTACCCGCTCGCTTCATCTCGACCTCGATCTGTTCCTAAAGTACCTTTACGTAGTGTCCCATTCCTCATCATACGCTCTCTTTCGGCATTTTTCTCCTCTATTAAAGTCTCAGAAACGGTGTTCAACAAGTAGTTCAAAAATTCATGCGCGTCTTGCTGCATGTAGTTGTCGAAGAGTTCTTAAGAAGAGCTATAGTGAAAATGGTGCTCCAACAAAGTACAAACAGGTATACCATTTTCCTTTTTCAACTTCGTGATAAATCGTTTCGGGGCTATTGTGCCCACGCGCCGCTTCTGTGTAGCAATATTATGGAAAAGGTCGGCAAGACAGGTTACCAAGTTCTCTTTTTGACTACCTGGAATGAAAAAAAAATCACGATATTTAAAAACTTGTGAATTGTATTATACAACATCATTAGATAAAACAACAGTAATGCATAGTTTGAGATTTATTATTAAAAAAGGAAACAGGCTATGAACTAAGCAACAACCTTTGGCTTATTATCAATATCAACACCTTGGTACGTACAGTATTCTCTGAATTCAATACTTTTGAAAAACCGTGTTGGTCCTATGTAGCCGAAATGGGGTAAGGACTAAATAGCTCCTCAAAAAATGAGCATAAATGATACTGTGACCGTTTTTTTTCTTCTAATAAATTGAGAGCCTATAGCTTAGGAATTAGCGAACCCCAGATCTAACACTAACATAATACTATTCATTCTGAAGTATATCGGCAAAGAAAATCTCATTTTAATTGTTCAAAAGCATATCAATGATTTTGAGTTCAACAATTAATTTTGAGCTCGGACTGCGCTACTAATCATTCTCTGTGCTCGGCAGGAACTTATACAATCACATGATACGCAGCGAATGCAACCACGTGGTTGAACTTT